TCTCTCTTCATTTTTTTTTAGAATAGCCCCTCTCTCGCTTTCTTTAGTTTATATTTTTACTTATCGAAGATTGTTCTTTGCATGACCATTTCCAGATTATGCCAGAATGAAGTGGAGAGGTGAATGCGGACATTGCAGAGATCACCTGATTGATACGTGGTGCAGGGGTCGTTCAAAAGTAAAAAATATAGAATAAATGCATTTGATTGGTAAACCAAATTCAAACGTGACGTTTTAATCTCTAAAGATAATGCATGGAATATATGGAAAAGCTCCACTAAATAATAGCGTTGATAAGTGAGGGGCGGGGCTTTGGCAATCACCGCTACCGATGACCAGTCAATCTACTCCACAGGCCCCCTCCTTGTCCGGGCCCCGGGGCTTCAGCCCCGCCTAGCCCAATGGTTAATGCGGCCCTGTCTGTGATAGATTGAGATTAAGGAGAAGTCCATAATCGAGCCGAGCGATGCAGATTGTACTGTTCCAATTTGTAAATCCATCAAGAAAGTTAATCCATGTGATATATTAGCAGAAAGTGAAAGACAAAACCAAGAAAACAGGAATATTAATGGATGGCTCCTCCCTCAACATGATACAGATCAGCTGCTTCCATATACACACATACCCATAAATAGACATATTTGCATATCTCAGCAAATCAGCCAACACTATGTACTGTCAGAACTCCAATCACGTAAAAATACCATTATTCTTTCAAAATTCAGACAGCAAAGTCTTTGAATTAATAAATTGCTATGTTAGAGCCACTCCAGCAACTAAATCAAAGATTTACGGTATTCTCTGTGCCAGCGATTAATTTTTCCCACACCGACCATATCAGAGATAACCTCGTAAATTTGGTGCCCTAGAATGCCGGTGTATTGACATGCACTTCCAATCAGGACAAAAATGGCAGGCAAGTTTACAAAGCAACGCCTGCCAAAAGCCATCCAACACCCTTACAAACTCTATCTACATTCATGCAGCAGATGCCAAATTCATTCTAAAACAGATGCTTTGTTAATTTTATCAGTCTCTATATTTGTCAATCAAACACTAAAGACCTTCACATGCCTGGTTCGGTAAGGCTGTCACTGCAGTTGGTTAAAAGTTATATGTGCTACATGGAATGTATGTCACATGACCTAGTGATCACTGAGCGCTTACTTTTGATTCCCATTTCCCACACACCGTTAGCAACAGCTGGGCTTTCATAGTGCAACCAGCCTTCCAACATATTGACTTGCCTCTCTTAAAGGGGTCATATGATGCTGCTAAAAAGAACATTATTTTGTGTATTTGGTGTAATGAAATGTGTTTA